AGAAGAATTATATGTGTATCTTAAGCTTTTCATTTTGTTATATGCAGACGATACTGTTATCATGGCTGAAACAGATGTAGATTTGCAAAAGGCTCTATATGATTTTTATTTGTATTGTTCACAATGGAAACTCAATGTTAATGTTAGTAAGACAAACATTCTAGTGTTTTCTAAAGGACCAATGTCAAAAAAGGTATTTTTTTACAATAATAATGCAATTGAAAATGTAAAAATATTTAAGTATCTTGGGATGATATTTTCACGCTAAGGCTCATTTTGTAAGGCCAAAAACATGTATGTGAACAAGCACAGAAAGCAATGTATGGTGTAATAAGGAAGATAAGACAATTTGACTTACGAACTGAATGTCAGTTAGATCTTTTTGATAAAGTTATTGTTCCAATTTTGACTTATGGCTATGAAAGGGGTTATGAAAACGTTGACATCATTGAACGTGTACATTTAACATTTTTAATACATATTTTCCATTTAAAGAGTAGTACGCCCTCGTATATTGTGTATGGGGAGACTGGGCAATTCCCATTGTATATTTTTATTTTTACAAGAATTGTCTCCTACTGGTTAAAATTGCTTACCCCGAATTCTTCAGAAAACTAAATAGTTTGTGTTTTGTATAAATACTAGGGATGTCAACGAGTACCCGGTTAACCGGGTACTCGATCGAACGTCCTAGTATCGAATACTAAAATCGGTACTCGGTTATATTTTTTTTGTTTTTATATATTTTTAAGCTTATTTATTAATGCATTAAAATATCGGTGTTAAAACGTAAAATGTTCATTGCACTTTTACATGCAGTAATTAGGGTTTCCTACTCATCTAAATTACCGTTTTCGCCTGTGGCAGTGTTTATACAGTAATTACCGTGACCAAGCACCTGCTTCCTACCCGGCTTTTCTCACCTTCGGTTGTCTTCTACCCTTATGTTAAGTTTGCCTTAATTATTTGTTTTCATTGAACATCGTTTAAGGTCTTTTATGTTTAATAAAATTAGATAATTTTATCAATTCTATAAGAAGCCGTGAATTCTCGAGGAAAGAGACAGACGATATTGCACGTGCGTTTGTTGATATGGATGCGTTTGATTACATGCCAATTAATACAAATTGTTGAAGGCAAAGGCTTTAAAAAAACTGATGTCCATCGTTGCACCAAACTTCAACATACCGTCTCGTAATTCTATGAAATTTAGGATTGACAAGTGTACGAAGATCGTAAATCCGCTCTGTTAGGGGCCTATAGGAGAACTTGATCAAGTTGATACTGTATATGTAGTTCTGACGACTGATCACTTCGACGTCAAACGCATCAAAGAGTTACATAACAATTACGGAACAGATTTAAAAAAAAAAAACAAAAACATCGTGAACCATTTATGATTTCATTTGTCGTATTTATCTGATAAGTAAATTGAACTTTAAAAAAAATAAGTTTAACTTTCGTCGGGCACAAAGTAGTCATAATTGTTACAACAGAAACACTTTACGGGTAAACCTCCCATCAGACCATGTGGTTTTATTTCTACAAGAGTTTACACTGTTTTACAGTCATCAATTAACTTGTTCATATTTATTTAGACTCTTACCGAGTACCCGGTTACTCGATCGGAAAAACGTCCGAGTAACCGAGTATTAAAAATTGACCGATTTGACATCCCTAATAAATACCTATGTTCTCAATATTTACAAGGAGGTCCAAAAAACCCATGAGTAGATTTCATTTATAAAATTTTAACCTCTTGTGGGTTCTCTAACATTTGGTATGACCAAAGTTCCATTGACAGAAATTGGATACTTGCAGAGTGAAGCAAAGATTAAGAGATCAGTTTATTGAAATATGGCATAGTAATATTAATAACTCATCAAAAGATCAAATGTACAAAATTTTTAAGAATGATTTTGGATTTGAAAAATATCTAAGTATTTTACCTTGTAAACTCCAAAAAATATCAATAAAATTTAGAACCTCAAACCACCACCACCCCCAATTCAAACTGGTAGATGGTCAAATATTCCATTAAATAAAAGAGTTTGTAAATTGTGTAATACAAGGCGAATAGCAGACGAATTTCATTTCATTTTAGAATGTAAAACATTGAATAGTATCAGAAAGAATCTTTTAAAACCCAGATACTGTAAAACGCCAAATACACTTAAGTTTTGTGAAATTATGTCATCGACAAATTTAAAATCTTGAAAAGCCTTTGTATATTTATATCTAAAATAAACGACACCGTCTGTATAAATACAATACAATAAATACAAGTATAATATCACATAATTATGGACTCTTTTGGTGTTGAATATGGTTTGTGTTATTCTACAGAAAAATATCGAAAAATGTGCCATTAATTTTTCTCTAATTCATAATTATCTCCCCTTGGAAAAGGGCATGACCCTTAATTTCAACAAACTTGAATCCCCTTTACCCAAGGATATTTTGTAACAAGTTTGGTAGAAATTGGCCCAGTGGTTCTTAAGAAGAAGATGAAAATGTGAAAAGTAAACGAAAACGACGATGACAGACAACTGACAAATTTTGATCAGAAAAGCTAACTTGAGCCTTCGGCTCAGGTGAGCTAAAACTGCAAGAAAAAAGTGGGGAACTCTCCAAACTCGGGGGGGGGGGGGGGAAAGGGGGGCATCAGGTTATGTTGAGAACAAAGTTGGGTGAGGGATGTCATCCCCCTACCCAACCCAAACCTGAAATAGACATCTTGAAGGGGGGCAGGGAGGGCAACAGAGAAGAAGCATAGACAAAGTTTTATATGTTTGAACCATTTCAGAAATATGAAAAGATTACGAAAAGCATGAAATCTGTGGAGATAACGAACAGTATTCAAGCTTCAAACTCCATCAATTATTACAAAATAGGAGCAGAGCACATACGGACCTCCAAAATATCAGAGGTGAAATAAGGTGCCATGGAGGAGTGAGCATCTCCTGCAGACCGGTGACTTCCGCCATGTGCTCATTGTCATGATTGGAAAATAAGGGAAAAATCCGTGGAAAACTCAGTGTGTAAAAAATGCCCTAACAACCAGTATAAAAAAATCAGTCAGCATTTGACTTAATGCAAATATATTAGCTGTCAAGGTCATTGTATTGATCATAGAAGTTACAAAATGATGACTTTCAAAAAATATGATTGCTGATATTCTTTTTTCATCAATTTGTATGTCAAAAACTTAAATCGTTTTAGAAATTGTTCGTGCGTAGAACATACTCTACCGTATCGAATCAACAGAGAGATATAAACTCCGTATACAGATGACTAAGGTATATTGCTGCATAAGTAAGGGACGTTGACGATTGAAAAGTCAGTCATCAAGATTATAATAAAGTTTTGTTGTGAGATATCTGAAGGCTGTGGGTCTATATTATTATCATTGTGCAGTTACAAGTTTGGTTTATATTATTATCCTTATACAGTTACAGACTGGGTCTTTATTATTATCGTTTAAAGTTACAGGCTGGGTGTATATTATTAGTTACATATTGGTTTATTTTATTGTCGTTTTACAGTTACAGGCTGGGTGTACGAAGAAGACCCTGACACTCAGACCACGAGATGGGTTCGTACACCAGACGGGATCCCATTTTTGACGTCTCACGTGATTGAAAAATAAGAGGATACTACAGCATTCCTATTTAAAATATTTAACAATGCATAAGATAATGTATTTCTTGTTCTGGCCTATTAAATATCTATAAAAGTATGCTTTAGTGTTATTTTTTTTATTTCTATAAAAATGCTAATACCTTGCTATTTGAGTACTACATTTCTGACATCTGAAAGATGTTGCTAAATATGACAAAATTCCCTCATTATTTATTATGTCCTATACATGCACACTGTACAACTAAATAAATCAATCTAGGGGTTTCAACGTAGTACATGTAGCAAACTTAATTGAAAATATATTCATTTTAAGCTAAAACTAACTTTGTAATTGTTATTTATTTATATTTATTTTTTATTTATATTATTTATGTATTGAAGTACTTTTATTGTGTAAGATAATATGTGCCTGTGTCGGATTTAGCGACTTTTAAAAATCGTATTCAACTTTAAAAATATAAAAATAAAAGTGTACACTTTTTACCATGTCCATAATTAACTTCATCCTGTAACCAACCTAAATAATGTAGTCTTTACATTTCTTTTGGACTTTAAATCCCATGATTGAGAAACTTTAATTGAAAAATTAAAAAAAAATCCATACGATTAAATTTATTCAGCTTAATTATATAATCACGACTTAAGTTGTAATATGCAAGATGTTAAAATAGAAATGGTATACTAGTAATTTGTCCTTAACTGCTCCCTGGACACCCAGTTAGGTGAAATCGTGCAAAATACCACCAAGACGTGTATACATTTAACGTTAACATCTCACCATTTAAAGAAACGTAACCCCTACTCAATCAATCGAAAACATCTTATGAAAAATGAAAACACTTGTGTGTGCATACTGCATACTCAAACTGAAAACATAAATGCAAGATAAAGATAAAAAAAATTGGAGACTAATAATGAATATCTTTATCAAAGTTACTTTTTTTCTGTATCAATCCAAATACTTAAAAATTTTGATGCACGATTCACTGCTCTCACCAATCCAGAGGTTTTCGTCACCATCAATGCTAAGAACGAAGGGGACTTTCAAACTGCAGTTGATGTTGCGTAAGAACTTCCCGTTCCTGTCAACCACGTGGACACAATTATTGTCGCGATCAACAACAAGAATACGACAAAAGTTGTCAGTATCTATTCCATGTGGAAAGAATTCTTATAGCTGCGAGAGAGACTTCCGGTGTAACGAAATCGGAATTCTCCGGATTTCTTGGTTATGACGACAGCAGAGGCGTTCCAGTCGGAAACACAATTGTCCCCGTTTCCATTTTCGGTGACATACTTGTTGTTCTGGCCTACAGAAAACAGTGCCTTATAATTATCATCAAATTGAATTTCTTTCCTCAATTTGCCTTCAGAAAATATGCCAATCTTGGCCTCGGAGTAGTCGTTTCGTCGCTTGCAGACATAAAGTCGTCCTCTGTGTTGAAGTAAAGACCAAATAGAATCCAGACAGTCAATTCTATCATCTTCTCGATGCAGTCTTCTCCGACAACTAGTAATTCAACACATTCATCCGTGATGTGTGAAAAAGCAACATTGCCGTTTTTGTTAACCGCAATGTCTTTCTGACTACTTCCCGAAATCGCCGCTATGGACTTCAGCAGAGTGACATGTTTGTCATACTGCTTGAGGTTTCCATCATCTCCATAAACCCACACCCCCTTTGTTGCTTTACAACAAATTCCTTTTAATTTTCCGCTGTTGATTTTTATAATAGCTAAAGGTTCTGGTCCTTCCAGTAACATGCGGGCCGCTACTGCCGATACCCCACAGGTTTTGCTAATCGCAAATTCTGGTAAAGTTGTTCTATTGGAGGGTTTGACTGTCAAAAGCTGGCTTATAATCTGTTCTTCTGAAATATCTGAGGGCATTATTTTTGGCGGTAGGACGACTATTCTACTAGGAACAAGTCGCAATTCCTCGACCATAGATTCGTACTTAAGGAGATTCAAGACTTTGTTATCTTTCAAAAGTTTCTCGTTTTCCTGAATGCAGTTCTCCACATGCTTTAACATTGCTTGCATTTCTTCAATACTATCTTCCATGTGTTTCTTGTCCTTTCTCACCATGACATCCAAATTCTTTTTGAATTGTCTATCGTGACATCAACTTTCTCATGCCAAGTTTTCCTCAACTGCTTCTTTTTTACTGTGATCTGCATACTCAAAAAATTTTTCTATCATTTTCTGCACAACATTTTCGTATTCATTTTTGAAGTGCCTTAATTCCAGTAAGTCGCTTTGGACGGCGCTTTGAGTTGCTGAGGTGATTTTGGACAAGTTTACACTTCTGTGTCCCTCATGGTTTCCCAAAAGACACTGAAAGCAAATAGGAACTGTGCAATCTTGACAGTACAGGACATTTTCTTGAGAATGATCAGTACATTTGTCTGGAGAGGAGGCTTGTTGCTTGTACAGGTCAATTTCATGCTTCAATGCTTCATTTTCTAAATGTTTGTTTCTACAATCTCTGCAAAGATTAAGACCACAACTTCTACATTGAACAGCGACCACATTTATGCATTGACTTCAACGAACTGCATCTTGGACCATTTTTTCTGCCTTTTCATCACTCATCGTTCACTTGTAACTGTAAAAAAATTAAAAAATTGCTTTAACATATCGCTCTTTTATTTATATTTATACTAATGAATAGCTTTTCAAGTGATCGATTTAAGATCCATTCTCTGTACTGAATATACCTGGTATACTAGATCAATGACAAGAAAGTCAAGGAATTGTTTCATACTTTTAAATGTATGTTTTGATGCGCAAACATAGTACAGTAAAAAAGCCTGTTATTAGCAAACATACTGCATGTTGTATTCATGCCTTTAACTCAAATGCTGACTGGTGTCTTTCCTACTGTTTGGCTATTAATACTAGTATTTACATACTGAATATTGTCGACGGATTTTCTCGTTATTTCTCAATCCTGACAAGGAGCACACAGTGGGTGTCGACATGCTTTTCTGTGAATTAAGTCGATATATCTATGAATCGACCTAATCAAAAGGCTGTATTTATATATCGACGACGTATTGCCAATTGTCAATAAATCAAATCACTACTAACTCTCAAATACATGTAGTTTCATAGAAATGGAAATATATCTATTTTCAATATTTCAAAAAATACCTGAGGGAGTATAACATGTTAAAATTGTAAACCTGCCGCTTATACATGATCTGCATCTGCACTCTGCTGGCATATATTCAATATATGCAGGAGAAAAAACTTATATATAACACATGTTAAACCCATTTGCTTCTTTAATTAAACATAAAAAATTAGCTTATACGTACTTTATAATAGTTGTAGAATTCCACGCTACTGCACAGAGTTATGTGGACGATATTCAATACGTCCTTAGTTTATAAATATCGACAGCACATAAATATTTACATATCTGAATCCCGAGTTATTCCAAACGTGTAAGCACATCGCTTCCGCCACGTTGAAAAGTGCACTCTCTAAAAACATTGCATGGCCTGACTTATTATGAGGTTGAAATGAGGGTGCCAGAATTCACTGTTATATGTATTTGTATAGAACATTAAGTATAATATAATAAATATTGCATGTAGTTGGATGTAACATTGAAAAATTTTCACACCAAGAAAACTATTGTCAACCGAGGCGCAGCAAATACATATAACAGTGAACCGTGCGCGCATAAATTCTGCGCAGTCGCTATTTTTTTGGAATATCATCCGTCGTCAAACACTGTTGACTGTTGCTACTGTGGAGGGCGTGGCTTCATTATTCAGCGGGTAATAGTGTTTTTTAACAAATGTTTCTCGACCAATCAGATTCAACTAATTTACATGAAAGTATACAATAATAAGCTAAGTTTTCAGTCGATTTTATGGAAAATATTAATAAAAATAATTATAATCTGGTGGTACTCTACGGCTTTCTATACATACTCTACTGTTTTCCATAATTAAAAGATGCGTGGACTTATTCTTTTACAATTCCATTAGCATTTCTCCAGGAATCTTAATCAGGGCCTGTACATGGACAAAGGAAGCTTGAATTGAGGAAATTATTAGACTCTGATGTTTTAAAGGAAGTGTTAGGAAATCAATTAATGGTGCTTGGATACTATTTATTTTAGTTCAGCCGAGCTTAAAGCCCAAGTGAGTATGACCGATTAGCTAGGGGGTGTCCACACTGTGGCTCGAACCTACAACCTTCAAATTTAAAATCAAACGCTCCTCCGACTGAGCTAAAGGGTTAATCCACTAGCTAGTGCTAGTAGAAGCGTGGCCTCGCTATATACAATACAAAGCCACTTTAAACTCTGTTACACTTCTTCTTCTTTTTCTTAAGATTTCTTACCCCTAAGAAAATCTCACACACGAGACTCTATAAACACCACTTACCATGTGGGTTTTGTAGTAGGGCGCCTATATGACCGATTAGCTAGGGGGTGTCCATACTGTGGATCGAACCTACAACCCTCAAATTTAAAATCCAACGCTCTACCGACTGAGCTAAAGGATTAACACACTAGCAAGTGCTAGTAGGAGCGTGGCCTCACTATATACAAGACAAAGCCACTTTAAACTCTGTTACATGAGCTTTTCTGATCATCCGTTGTGTATCGGTTTGTCGAGCTGTCCGCCCGTCTTCTGCATGCTTTTCACTGAAAGAAATACCTAGGTAATTTAACTAATGTGCCTAGTAAAGCATTCATCGTGATTAGTAATTATTCTGTTTTCTGTAAAATATATTATTACTATATTAGCTACGATAGTGAGTAGTAGGTGTCACGTGGAGTGGGGGTCGTATAGATACCAACTAACTTAGTGAAAGTAACTTATTAATTTTAGATTTACTAACGGTGTCTACTCAATACGTCGCCCGCGTGGCGCAGTGGTTAGAGCGTCTGCTCTAGAGTCGCGAAGTAAGGAGTCAATCCTTACGTCGCGGGTGCGAATCCCACTGTGGGACGTGGAGACCGGTCCTTCGGATGAGATCGTATAAACCGAGGCCCCGTGTCGCAGTAGGTGCTGGCACGAAAAAGATCCCTCACTGCTCAAAGGCCCTGAGTGCCGAGCATAGGACAAAATTTGTAGCCCTCCACCGGCAAGTGGTGGCGTCTCCATAAGAGTGAAAAATTCTTGAGAGGGGCGTTAAACAACATATAATCAATCAATCAATCAATCAATCTACTCAATGCCAAGTAAAACTACTCCTAAGGTAGGGATTGTATGGGCAGTAAATTTACAAGTCTTCTTAGTGACTTTAATTACTAGCTATTTGTTTCAGTGTTCGTTAATTAATCTTCTTCTTTAAACCACTGGGCCAATTCTAACCAAAGTTGCTACAAAGCATTCTTAAGCAAAGGGGAGTTTTAAATGTTGAAATGAAGGATCATGCCCCTTACAAGAAGGATATGGAGATAGCGAACAGTATTCAACAGCAAAGTCCATAAAACAATACAAAACAGGAGCAGAGCAAACACGGACCTCCGAAACAGAGGTGGGATCAGGTGTCAAGGAGGAGTGAGCACCCCCAGCTGACCGGTCACACCCGCCGTGTGCTCCTTGTCATGTTCGGGAAATAACGGAAAAATCCGACGTCAATTCAGTGTATAAATAATGGACTATCAATAAGTATGAAAAACGTCAGTCAGCATTTGTCTCAATGATAAATTGTATTTGCTGACAAGGTCATTGTATCAGCCATAGAACTTTCGAAATGATGACTTTAAACGAGACTGATGATATTCTTGTTTCGTCAAATTGCTTGTTAATAATTAGAAATTGTTCATACGTAGAGCATGCTCTTGCGTATCGAATCAACTGAGATATATAGACTCCGTATGCAGGTGATGAAGGTATATTGCTGCATAAGTAAGGGAAGTTGACGATAGAAAAGTTAATGCCATCACGTTTATCGTAAAGCTTGGTTGTTATATTACAATTAACGTCTTTCATCAAGTAAAATATCCAAGTATGAAACAGATGTGTCAGACTCTGTGATACCTTTAATCTCGAGCTCACCAGGATATATCGTACCTTATAAGGAAATATAATCAAGAATACTAGTAAACAAAAATATGGTTGGGTTATTGATTATCTTCTCAAAAATACTGGGCCAGAAAATCTGAAAGGTATGTATGTTAAAGCATCTTGAGGTAGTGAGTTTAATTAGTGTTCAAATCATTACCCCCGGGGGACACAATAGGTATTACAAAGGGGAAACCCAGAGAAGAACAGCAGGATCAAGCTTAAGGTAACTCAGGTTAGCGTTGGCCTATGAATCTCTTGCTAGTATTAATTTCAAATTTACTTAAATTACAAAAACAAATACGATTTAACTTCCGGGTGGAGTTACAGTTGTGTCGAAGTCAAGAATCCTTTTTGGAAACAAAACGGACTCAGTGATCCATTTTCACTTCAAATATATGAATATCAAGGATAGGCATTGTAATATTTTTTTTCAAGAAGTCATACTACAAGTAGATTTTTTTTTTACATTCAAAAAGTTCTGTAAACAGGAAATTTTAGTCAAGACCATTCATTTAACAAAAAAAAAACATCTTTAAATAAATTCTTTTTAAGCATTTAACATTCAAATTAGTTCGGTATTGTGTGGGGATCTAGAAAACGAGCTTAAAAATCTCATTGACACCTAACACACACCTAAAAGCCGATACAGATCTTACCAAATGACCCAACAAATCGGAAGGTGACACAAGAGTATTTTCGCTGCATAAGGCATCTCGTATGTGCGTGACATTCATGCAACTGTCTATTGTTCGAACGAGGAAAAACCAGCGTTTTAATTCAGAGATCCCTTTGTAGCCTGTGAAAAAATTTACAAAAATAATAATGCATGCACTTGGACAAAGAGAGTTTAACAATAATACAGTTTTAAATTCCAGTGGATAATTTTCAAAGATCTAAAGTGCTCGAAGTCTGGGGATATCTGTTTTCTCATACATTTTCTTTTTATATGCATGATAAATAATTAAGGTTCCCTTAAATAACACAAATAATTGCTCAACGCATTTCATATTTTCCCTGTCGATTGCTATATTATAGAAATAAATGTGAAACATGGAGTTTTAGTCACTTTATATAATAAAAATCAATAACAGAGCAAACACGGGGGCCTATTTAATTACAAAGGTGGGATCAGGTGCCACGGAGAAGTAATAATCCCCTGTCAATCGGTCACACCCGCCATGTGCTTCATTATGTTTGCAAAAACGAAAAGATTCGTGGAAAGTTCAGTGTATGGTCTAACTATATAAGTATTTTACTAGATTTTATTTGCTGAAAAAGATATTTCATTGACTCTGGAACTAAACGAAACAAAAGATTTTCTTGTTTTATAAACTTGTTTTAGAAGCTTCCTACCTTCTCCTAAAGCATTCTCTGGCCTTGTTTTATAATTAACATATTGTTGCTACTAAGACCACAAACCTTAAGAACTAAACATCTCGATTCTATGGCTTAATTTGCAACATGATGAAGCATGTGGGGCTACCTATCACATGAAATGTTAAATCAATTTTTTACCTGGTAGAATTAGGGTGCATGATTATTCTCAACTTATCATGATAAAGGAACTCCTCAGCACCTGCTCCCACCTCTTAAAAATCTCTTGAATTCCCGAGTGTACGTGTTTATTCCCTGTTTACATAAGTGTTGAGTTTTAATGAGATCCCTATCTTCACCTTCTTTTTTAATTTTCTTCAAAAATTTTAATTTTACCTTAAAGACTAATGTTATATCTTAAATAAATATTTAATCCCTTGCAAATTGTGTGATATCCTGTCAATTTCTTCCGAGAAACGACATCATTTTCTTACCAATTATTTAAAAAAGATCCTGAAAGGTTTTCTTCCTTAAATGCATAAGATTGAAAATAAGCCAAATCGAGTGCATGTACTAGTATAAGGTATAAATGTATCATAACCTACAAACGGATCTTTTTTGCAAGGGGGGGGGGGGGGGTGTTCCTTCTAGTTAAAATTAGTAAACATGTCTATGTAATATTAATAAATAGAGCTGAACATTTAAATGAAATGAATGTTGTCAAAAACTTAAGGGAGCTCTTTTGAATTAACTACAATAACAAAACAAATATTTATATCCAAATCTGTAGCCTACACTACCAGGAAAACTTAGGCTTGGTGTAAAATGCGGAGGATAGAGTCTCCGAAATGGAGGGTCAGAGAGTGCAAAGGGTGGAGTCTCTTGAGTTAGATGATGCAGGAGGTGGAGCATTGTGCTCGTTGTAAATTTAGCATGTGCTTATTAGATCTGTCATCTCATTTTCCGTTATTCGTGAGAACTTGTTTGAATGTAACATTATCCAAACAATTCAAAAATGATTCCTTTGAAATTGACTAAATGAACACTGCTATCTCGCAGTCTTGACAGATTTTATTAGTATAGGTATCAAATATATGAAGAGCAAAAAGTTAAATGCTATGGGCTAGATCACTTCC